CTTTCATCAGTACTGAGGGACTCTTCCTTTCATCAGTACTGAGGGACTCTTTCTTTCATCAGTACTGAGGGACCCTTCCTTTCATCAGTACTGAGGGACTCTTCATTTCATCAGTACTGAGGGACTCTTTCTTTCATCAGTACTGAGGGACTCTTTCTTTCATCAGTACTGAGGGACTCTTTCTTTCATCAGTACTGAAGGTATCTTTCTTTCATCAGTACTGGGGGACTCTTCCTTTCATCAATACTGAAGGACTCTTCCTTTCATTAGTACTGAGGGACTCTTTCTTTCATCAGTACTGAAGGACTCTTTCTTTCATCAGTACTGGGGGACTCTTCCTTTCATCAATACTGAGGGACTCTTCATTTCATCAGTACTGAGAGACTCTTCCTTTCATCAGTACTGAAGGACTCTTCCTTTCATCAGTACTGGGGGACCCTTCCTTTCATCAGTACTGGGGGACCCTTCCTTTCATCAGTACTGAGGGACCCTTCCTTTCATCAGTACTGGAGGACCCTTCCTTTCATCAGTACTGGAGGACTCTTCCTTTCATCAGTACTGGAGGACTCTTCCGTTCATCAGTACTGAGGGACCCTTCCTTTCATCAGTACTGGAGGACTCTTCCGTTCATCAGTACTGGAGGACTCTTCCTTTCATCAGTACTGGAGGACTCTTCCTTTCATCAAAACTGGCAGACTCATTTCATTTGTAGGACAAAGATCGGCGCTGTTCCTTTCGTCAAATCAACATTCATGGCGGCAATGTTTGCTATTTTATTTCCTCTCAAAGAACTTAAAACCCTTTGTCTCTAGTCTCCTTAAAGCTGTTGCTGACACATCCGACAACTAATGCAAACTGTATTTCAATCAATCCAAAAGTAATTATCATTGTTTACATAAGAGACTCAGTAGGGACGTTTAAAGCGGGCATCAAAGTGTTGCTAGACTAATTACATTTAACCAGGCGGAAATCTCACATCCTCTTAACATATTACCGATCTCCTCATTATTTGATTAATTCAAGGGTTTAAGTTAAGTTAGCTTAAGCTAACATATCAGTATTAATCTTGACTTCCTTTGTGATCAAAGTTTTTTTCAGTTGATTTTTCAAAGAAATATTTTTGAACTGCGTTGATTATACGTCAAATCTAAGAAAAATATTACAAATCCAAGGAAATATAAGTCAGCACTCTAAGTAGATGCAAAAATCTATGTACATTAAACACATCAGGTAMTCAGTTATCAAATAGTGGTACACTTAAGTTGAAAGGGAGTCTTGATTAAATAAGATGAATTTTTATTCTCCCAGTATCCTTTATACAATTTGAATTAAATGTAGTTTTTTACGCATACATAAAAATTTATGACACAGTTGACAAAATATTACAAAGCGAGTACGTTTCTTAGGGCATTCCATATTCAAAGTTTGCATAATCATTTATCATATCACAAAACGAGATGTAATTGAAGTCGTGCTTGAGACCGATAATGACGTCAAATTTCTGGTATAGAACTTCGAATTCCCTTCTACTCACAAGCCCGCCAAGATCAAGCTCACTGAGTACGCGGTGRAACTGACCACGTGACACGGTCCCATTATGCACCTTGTCATAGTCTTCGAAGAGCGGGAAAATCTGRATGCGTCTGATTCGAACGCGGTCTGCCAAACGGTGCATAACGCGTTCAAGCATAGCTTCCGCTTCTGGTGACAGTTTAGTGTTTTCACTCTCTACGTGGGGTTTGAACTGCTCTGGGACAACCAGTGGCATCTTTTCTAAGTCTATAAGTCAGTATTAACAGTTAAGGTGAAAGGTTTTTACAGGAACATTTGAAATTTAAAGTTCATTCTAAAGTTATTTGATTCTTTATACTTACTTTTGATAGTGAAGATTTCTTCAATATCGTCAGAGAACTGAAGATAGTCCACAAAGTCTGGATAACCATAAGAAGCATATCTGTGTATCATTTGAAAAAATAAACAGGATTAAGACAAAACATCTTTATATTGAAAAGTTGGAAAGAYGATCAATGACAAATTAATAAACGAAAACTGAAAAAAGGATGGATGGAAGGAAGGAAGAAACGAAGAAATAAATAAGAAAGAATAGAAGGAAGGAAGGTGGGTAAGAAAATA